CTACTACTACTACTACTACTACTACTACTACTACTACTACTACTACTACTACTACTACTACTACTACTACTACTACTACTACTACTACTACTACTACTACTACTACTACTACTACTACTACTACTACTACTACTACTACTACTACTACTACTACTACTACTACTACTACTACTACTACTACTACTACTACTACTACTACTGCTACTGCTACTGCTACTGCTACTGCTACTGCTACTGCTACTGCTACTGCTACTGCTACTGCTACTGCTACTGCTACTGCTACTGCTACTGCTACTGCTACTGCTACTGCTACTGCTACTGCTACTGCTACTGCTACTGCTACTGCTACTGCTACTGCTACTGCTACTGCTACTGCTACTGCTACTGCTACTGCTACTGCTACTGCTACTGCTACTGCTACTGCTACTGCTACTGCTACTGCTACTGCTACTGCTACTGCTACTGCTACTGCTACTGCTACTGCTACTGCTACTGCTACTGCTACTGCTACTGCTACTGCTACTGCTACTGCTACTGCTACTGCTACTGCTACTGCTACTGCTACTGCTACTGCTACTGCTACTGCTACTGCTACTGCTACTGCTACTGCTACTGCTACTGCTACTGCTACTGCTACTGCTACTGCTACTGCTACTGCTACTGCTACTGCTACTGCTACTGCTACTGCTACTGCTACTGCTACTGCTACTGCTACTGCTACTGCTACTGCTACTGCTACTGCTACTGCTACTGCTACTGCTACTGCTACTGCTACTGCTACTGCTACTGCTACTGCACTGCTACTGCTACTGCTACTGCTACGCTACTGCTACTGCTACTGCTACTGCTACTGCTATACTACTACTACTACTACTACTACTACTACTACTACTACTACTACTACTACTACTACTACTACTACTACTACTACTACTACTACTACTACTACTACTACTACTACTACTACTACTACTACTACTACTACTACTACTACTACTACTACTACTACTACTACTACTACTACTACTACTACTACTACTACTACTACTACTACTACTACTACTACTACTACTACTACTACTACTACTACTACTACTACTACTACTACTACTACTACTACTACTACTACTACTACTACTACTACTACTACTACTACTACTACTACTACTACTACTACTACTACTACTACTACTACTACTACTACTACTACTACTACTACTACTACTACTACTACTACTACTACTACTACTACTACTACTACTACTACTACTACTACTACTACTACTACTACTACTACTACTACTACTACTACTACTACTACTACTACTACTACTACTACTACTACTACTACTACTACTACTACTACTACTACTACTACTACTACTACTACTACTACTACTACTACTACTACTACTACTACTACTACTACTACTACTACTACTACTACTACTACTACTACTACTACTACTACTACTACTACTACTACTACTACTACTACTACTACTACTACTACTACTACTACTACTACTACTACTACTACTACTACTACTACTACTACTACTACTACTACTACTACTACTACTACTACTACTACTACTACTACTACTACTACTACTACTACTACTACTACTACTACTACTACTACTACTACTACTACTACTACTACTACTACTACTACTACTACTACTACTACTACTACTACTACTACTACTACTACTACTACTACTACTACTACTACTACTACTACTACTACTACTACTACTACTACTACTACTACTACTACTACTACTACTACTACTACTACTACTACTACTACTACTACTACTACTACTACTACTACTACTACTACTACTACTACTACTACTACTACTACTACTACTACTACTACTACTACTACTACTACTACTACTACTACTACTACTACTACTACTACTACTACTACTACTACTACTACTACTACTACTACTACTACTACTACTACTACTACTACTACTACTACTACTACTACTACTACTACTACTACTACTACTACTACTACTACTACTACTACTACTACTACTACTACTACTACTACTACTACTACTACTACTACTACTACTACTACTACTACTACTACTACTACTACTACTACTACTACTACTACTACTACTACTACTACTACTACTACTACTACTACTACTACTACTACTACTACTACTACTACTACTACTACTACTACTACTACTACTACTACTACTACTACTACTACTACTACTACTACTACTACTACTACTACTACTACTACTACTACTACTACTACTACTACTACTACTACTACTACTACTACTACTACTACTACTACTACTACTACTACTACTACTACTACTACTACTACTACTACTACTACTACTACTACTACTACTACTACTACTACTACTACTACTACTACTACTACTACTACTACTACTACTACTACTACTACTACTACTACTACTACTACTACTACTACTACTACTACTACTACTACTACTACTTGACACAATCTTTATTAGGAAACTTGAAATGGAGATGTGAAACACAAATACAGCCATGTAGATGGAGCAGCAATGCAATACAATGTCCAAAAACTCAAGAATTCATTATCATGGGGCAATGTTGGGCAAATGTCTGTCAGGTACTATCACGCTCAGGCTGCCCGCAACCTGCACATCGTCGTGAAATTCATCCTGTTGCGGCGGTATGACGGCGGTATGACTACTACTACTACTACTACTACTACTACTACTACTACTACTACTACTACTACTACTACTACTACTACTACTACTACTACTACTACTACTACTACTACTACTACTACTACTACTACTACTACTACTACTACTACTACTACTACTACTACTACTACTACTACTACTACTACTACTACTACTACTACTACTACTACTACTACTACTACTACTACTACTACTACTACTACTACTACTACTACTACTACTACTACTACTACTACTACTACTACTACTACTACTACTACTACTACTACTACTACTACTACTACTACTACTACTACTACTACTACTACTACTACTACTACTACTACTACTACTACTACTACTACTACTACTACTACTACTACTACTACTACTACTACTACTACTACTACTACTACTACTACTACTACTACTACTACTACTACTACTACTACTACTACTACTACTACTACTACTACTACTACTACTACTACTACTACTACTACTACTACTACTACTACTACTACTACTACTACTACTACTACTACTACTACTACTACTACTACTACTACTACTACTACTACTACTACTACTACTACTACTACTACTACTACTACTACTACTACTACTACTACTACTACTACTACTACTACTACTACTACTACTACTACTACTACTACTACTACTACTACTACTACTACTACTACTACTACTACTACTACTACTACTACTACTACTACTACTACTACTACTACTACTACTACTACTACTACTACTACTACTACTACTACTACTACTACTACTACTACTACTACTACTACTACTACTACTACTACTACTACTACTACTACTACTACTACTACTACTACTACTACTACTACTACTACTACTACTACTACTACTACTACTACTACTACTACTACTACTACTACTACTACTACTACTACTACTACTACTACTACTACTACTACTACTACTACTACTACTACTACTACTACTACTACTACTACTACTACTACTACTACTACTACTACTACTACTACTACTACTACTACTACTACTACTACTACTACTACTACTACTACTACTACTACTACTACTACTACTACTACTACTACTACTACTACTACTACTACTACTACTACTACTACTACTACTACTACTACTACTACTACTACTACTACTACTACTACTACTACTACTACTACTACTACTACTACTACTACTACTACTACTACTACTACTACTACTACTACTACTACTACTACTACTACTACTACTACTACTACTACTACTACTACTACTACTACTACTACTACTACTACTACTACTACTACTACTACTACTACTACTACTACTACTACTACTACTACTACTACTACTACTACTACTACTACTACTACTACTACTACTACTACTACTACTACTACTACTACTACTACTACTACTACTACTACTACTACTACTACTACTACTACTACTACTACTACTACTACTACTACTACTACTACTACTACTACTACTACTACTACTACTACTACTACTACTACTACTACTACTACTACTACTACTACTACTACTACTACTACTACTACTACTACTACTACTACTACTACTACTACTACTACTACTACTACTACTACTACTACTACTACTACTACTACTACTACTACTACTACTACTACTACTACTACTACTACTACTACTACTACTACTACTACTACTACTACTACTACTACTACTACTACTACTACTACTACTACTACTACTACTACTACTACTACTACTACTACTACTACTACTACTACTACTACTACTACTACTACTACTACTACTACTACTACTACTACTACTACTACTACTACTACTACTACTACTACTACTACTACTACTACTACTACTACTACTACTACTACTACTACTACTACTACTACTACTACTACTACTACTACTACTACTACTACTACTACTACTACTACTACTACTACTACTACTACTACTACTACTACTACTACTACTACTACTACTACTACTACTACTACTACTACTACTACTACTACTACTACTACTACTACTACTACTACTACTACTACTACTACTACTACTACTACTACTACTACTACTACTACTACTACTACTACTACTACTACTACTACTACTACTACTACTACTACTACTACTACTACTACTACTACTACTACTACTACTACTACTACTACTACTACTACTACTACTACTACTACTACTACTACTACTACTACTACTACTACTACTACTACTACTACTACTACTACTACTACTACTACTACTACTACTACTACTACTACTACTACTACTACTACTACTACTACTACTACTACTACTACTACTACTACTACTACTACTACTACTACTACTACTACTACTACTACTACTACTACTACTACTACTACTACTACTACTACTACTACTACTACTACTACTACTACTACTACTACTACTACTACTACTACTACTACTACTACTACTACTACTACTACTACTACTACTACTACTACTACTACTACTACTACTACTACTACTACTACTACTACTACTACTACTACTACTACTACTACTACTACTACTACTACTACTACTACTACTACTACTACTACTACTACTACTACTACTACTACTACTACTACTACTACTACTACTACTACTACTACTACTACTACTACTACTACTACTACTACTACTACTACTACTACTACTACTACTACTACTACTACTACTACTACTACTACTACTACTACTACTACTACTACTACTACTACTACTACTACTACTACTACTACTACTACTACTACTACTACTACTACTACTACTACTACTACTACTACTACTACTACTACTACTACTACTACTACTACTACTACTACTACTACTACTACTACTACTACTACTACTACTACTACTACTACTACTACTACTACTACTACTTGACACAATCTTTATTAGGAAACTTGAAATGGAGATGTGAAACACAAATACAGCCATGTAGATGGAGCAGCAATGCAATACAATGTCCAAAAACTCAAGAATTCATTATCATGGGGCAATGTTGGGCAAATGTCTGTCAGGTACTATCACGCTCAGGCTGCCCGCAACCTGCACATCGTCGTGAAATTCATCCTGTTGCGGCGGTATGACGGCGGTATGACTACTACTACTACTACTACTACTACTACTACTACTACTACTACTACTACTACTACTACTACTACTACTACTACTACTACTACTACTACTACTACTACTACTACTACTACTACTACTACTACTACTACTACTACTACTACTACTACTACTACTACTACTACTACTACTACTACTACTACTACTACTACTACTACTACTACTACTACTACTACTACTACTACTACTACTACTACTACTACTACTACTACTACTACTACTACTACTACTACTACTACTACTACTACTACTACTACTACTACTACTACTATTATGTACAGCTACCCTATTGGGCAACGCCGCTCACGAAGCGGGAGACAACAACAAAAGAGAAGAGAAGAGAGAGAAATCGCAAAGTCAACAGAATTGGGCATGGCGTTGCAAGTCCTGTAGCCTTGAGGACTGCCTTTCGCAATGCTTGCATTCATGACGGCAGTTGTTCCTGGCTGCACGCGACATCCGTTTCGCAAGGTCACAGTGATGACGGTTCAAACCAGAACGGGAGCGGAAAGATCGGCGACAAACATCACATCGAAAAGAGTCAGATTCATGGCAAAAAGATGCAGCAGGGACACCCGTGGACACAGGACAGCGATGCACAGCCAGATCTCCAGCGCTCTTCAACCACCGCATGCACTTCATACATTGCCTGGCACCCTTCTGTTGTGAGACGGGCAACTTCCGCTGGGCAATTCACTTGTGTCGGGCCATGTCGTTACGGTGGCGGAAGTCTCTGGCACAAAACAAACAGCGCAAAGGTGGCGGATCATCTGCGTGCGGTGGTGGCTCAGCAAGGAACATCCTCCAGTGTTGCCGGTCTTGCGCATTCTGAACCCATGAATCCACGCCAGATGCCTTCATGTCTCTATGGACAACGTCTTTCCAGCGCCGCCGGGGGCCACAAGGAGGGCGACGACTACTCAACCTTCCAAACAAAATCTGCACGCACACACGCACGCACACAAACACACACACACACACACACACACACACGCACACACACACATCGAAAATTCCTATTCGGCCAAAACAAATATTGATCTTGTTTCCGGTCAGCCGACCGGGCCATTTTTTCCCAAATGTATACGAACAGTGCCAATGCCATGTGTGCAAGTGCACTCAACGAGTCAACAGTCAGTCACATCTCGACCGAATTCCAAAATCGAAATACCTACAAGGTAGCAGATATTCTCAGCTGTCGGCTCGAAAACCTCCGGTGTAGATTCGAGCTAGTATAAGGGAGCTGCAAGCACTCGAACTGTTTGCTTGATTTCTCAGGATGTACGAAAACAGGAATACACCACATGCCATACAAGAGCAGTGAGTCAGTCAGCTTTGACATTGATCCTTGCCATGATATATGTACAATGTACATGTGTAGGTGCTCTTGTCCATCAATACCACAATGATTGAGGAACCAAAAAAAGGATCCAAAAAATGTTTCATTCCGGCCGACCGAGTCTTCTTTTTGAGGGGTTGCCAACCCGAAACAAGCCTTTTTTTGGGTTTTGGCCTTAGCGATGTGGTATGGGCTACTTGTTATGGATATTCCTTCTGTCAGCTGTTTCGCTTGCCACAGTCTCAACAGCAACAGATGTAAAACAACGGTCGGAATGGGTATGAGTAGTATGTTATTGTCTGTACGTCATGTGTACGTTATGTGTGCGCTATGTGTACGCTATGTGTACATTATGTGTACGTTATGTGTACGCTATGTGTACGCTATGTGTACATTATGTGTACGTTATGTGTACGCTATGTGTACGCTATGTGTACATTATTTGTATGAGCAGCATATGTTTAGGAACTAACAAGATGTTATAAGACCCGCCCTCTCACCCCTTGCATTGTCTCCCACCCCCCTGTCCCCTACCCATAAACTGACTTCACTACTACTGCTAAACTGCACACTCAGAATCTACATGATGAATAGTCGTCGTGACAAGTCACGCCCGCCGGAACCAGTCCGGTCTGTAAGATTAGCACCCTGGCCAACTTGCCCACCATCAACACATGTTTAAAGCTATGGAAGGCATGTCCACTCACAAGCTTTATCACACACAGCATCTGAAAGGCCATGACACCACTGGATGATAAATATGGTGGTAAAGACACACCTGGCAATATGGCGGTAAACAAACGCCTGCCCACACACGCTCTCTAGGCTGCAAAGTTCTGGCACAGAGCTCTCCCATATCAGTTTACGGGTAGGGGACAGGGTGGTGGGAGGCAATGCAAGGGGTGAGGGGACAGGTCTTCTAACATCTTGTTAGTTCTCAAACATAATGATGCGCATACTTGGTACTAAAAAATATCGCCATTTCAATCACCAGCAACCCTATTTTTCATCATTTTAGGCTCTCTGGAAGGCTGAGAATCTCCGCTGTCGATTCATAATGCTCAGTGCTATGCAGGCACAGGAGACCGGCCTACGAACCACTTTGAATGCCGCTACAACGTGCCTTTATAGTAGTGCTGTTGTACACTCGGACACAATTGCTACCTGTATGTGTAACAGTACCAGTGATCTTGTTCTTGGCCGTTCAGGGTGGTTGTTCCAGGAGGAGTTATCTTGTTCTTGGCCGTTCAGGGTGGTTGTTCCAGGACGAGTTATCTTGTTCTTAGACGTTCAGGGTGGTTGTTCCAGGAGGAGTTATCTTGTTCTTGGCCGTTCAGGGTGGTTGTTCCAGGACGAGTTATCTTGTTCTTGGCCGTTCAGGGTGGTTGTTCCAGGACGAGTTATCTTGTTCTTGGCCGTTCAGGGTGGTTGTTCCAGGACGAGTTATCTTGTTCTTGGCCGTTCAGGGTGGTTGTTCCAGGACGAGTTATCTTGTTCTTGGCCGTTCAGGGTGGTTGTTCCAGGACGAGTTATCTTGTTCTTGGCCGTTCAGGGTGGTTGTTCCAGGACGAGTTATCTTGTTCTTGGCCGTTCAGGGTGGTTGTTCCAGGACGAGTTATCTTGTTCTTAGACGTTCAGGGTGGTTGTTCCAGGAGGAGTTATCTTGTTCTTGGCCGTTCAGGGTGGTTGTTCCAGGACGAGTTATCTTGTTCTTGGCCGTTCAGGGTGGTTGTTCCAGGACGAGTTATCTTGTTCTTGGCCGTTCAGGGTGGTTGTTCCAGGACGAGTTATCTTGTTCTTGGCCGTTCAGGGTGGTTGTTCCAGGACGAGTTATCTTGTTCTTAGACGTTCAGGGTGGTTGTTCCAGGACGAGTTATCTTGTTCTTAGACGTTCAGGGTGGTTGCTCCAGGAGGAGTTATCTTGTTCTTGGCCGTTCAGGGTGGTTGTTCCAGGACGAGTTATCTTGTTCTTGGCCGTTCAGGGTGGTTGTTCCAGGACGAGTTATCTTGTTCTTGGCCGTTCAGGGTGGTTGCTCCAGGACGAGTTATCTTGTTCTTGGCCGTTCAGGGTGGTTGTTCCAGGACGAGTTATCTTGCTCTTGGCCGTTCAGGGTGGTTGTTCCAGGACGAGTTATCTTGTCCTTGGCCGTTCAGGGTGGTTGCTCCAGGACGAGTTATCTTTTTCTTGGCTGTTCAGGGTGGTTGTTCCAGGACGAGTTATCTTGTTCTTGGCCGTTCAGGGTGGTTGTTCCAGGACGAGTTATCTTGTTCTTGGCCGTTCAGGGTGGTTGTTCCAGGACGAGTTATCTTGTCCTTGGACGTTCAGGGTGGTTGCTCCAGGACGAGTTATCTTGTTCTTGGCCGTTCAGGGTGGTTGTTCCAGGACGAGTTATCTTGTTCTTGGCCGCTCAGGGTGGTTGTTCCAGGACGAGTTATCTTGTTCTTGGCCGTTCAGGGTGGTTGTTCCAGTACGAGTAATCTTGTTCTTGGCCGTTCAGGGTGGTTGTTCCAGGACGAGTTATCTTGTTCTTGGCCGTTCAGGGTGGTTGTTCCAGGACGAGTTATCTTGTTCTTGGCCGGTCAGGGTGGATGTTCCAGGACGAGTTTTCTTGTTCTTGGCCATTCAGGGTGGTTGTTCCAGGACGAGTTATCTTGTTCTTGGGCGTTCAGGGTGGTTGTTCCAGGACGAGTTATCTTGTTCTTGGCCGTTCAGGGTGGTTGTTCCAGGACGAGTTATCTTGTTCTTGGCCGTTCAGGGTGGTTGTTCCAGGATGAGTTATCTTGCTCTTGGCCGTTCAGGGTGGTTGTTCCAGGACGAGTTATCTTGTCCTTGGGCGTTCAGGGTGGTTGCTCCAGGACGAGTTATCTTGTTCTTGGCCGTTCAGGGTGGTTGTTCCAGGACGAGTTATCTTGTTCTTGGCCATTCAGGGTGGTTGTTCCAGGACGAGTTATCTTGTTGTTGGCCGTTCAGGGTGGTTGTTCCAGGACGAGTTATCTTGTTCTTGGCCGTTCAGGGTGGTTGCTCCAGGACGAGTTATCTTGTTCTTGGCCGTTCAGGGTGGTTGTTCCAGGACGAGTTGTCTTGTTCTTGGGCGTTCAGGGTGGTTGTTCCAGGACGAGTTATCTTGTTCTTGGCCGTTCAGGGTGGTTGTTCCAGGACGAGTTATCTTGTTCTTGGCCGTTCAGGTTGGTTGTTCCAGGACGAGTTATCTTGCTCTTGGCCGTTCAGGGTGGTTGTTCAAGGACGAGTTATCTTGTTCTTGGCCATTCAGGGTGGTTGTTCCAGGACGAGTTATCTTGTTCTTGGCCGTTCAGGGTGGTTGTTCCAGGACGAGTTATCTTGTTCTTGGCACTGCAAGCGCAGGGGCGTCGGGAGGTATTTTAGTGTGGTACGGTCAGTCATCGGAAGTACAGTTTACTCGTGGGTGAGGGATGGCGGAGCGGAAAATTTTGGAAATTCAGAGTCTAGATCAGTGTATTTATTGATTCATGGGTACCTGGGGCAAAAACGTGGCACGGTCAATACCGTAGTGACCGTACCGTGTTCGACGCCCCTGAAGAGTTAAAACCTTCATAACATTATACATAGTTATCATAGGCAAGAAGCTGAGGCATAATTCTCGATGCACAGGAAACAAGCAACTACGGCGAAGTGAAATATAGATAGCATAGCATAACTTGTTTTATCATGTGACCTCAGATGAAGATGAATGCGCCACGGGCTTGCATCGGTGTGACGCCAATGCTACATGCTCAAACACAGTCGGGTCATACACATGCGCCTGCAATCAACATTTTTCTGGCAATGGACTCAATTGCACAGCAGGTGAGTCTGCTTGCTATCATACGACTGTCTGTATTTGGCCAGACGGGGCTTGCATCACTGTGTAAACGGGACGGGGTAGGTATGAGATGGTGATGTACGCACTCTACTCTCGATGTACATGCTTTTGACACGCAGACTGTGTGCTGAAGGGGAATCCCCTCCAGCGCACAGTACCATGACTCAATACAGCTAGGGGATTCCCCTCCAGCACACAGTACCATGACTCAACACAGCTAGGGTATTCCCCTCCAGCACACAGTACCACGACTCAATACAGCCAGGGTATTCCCCTCCAGCACACAGTACCACGACTCAATACAGCTAGGGTATTCCCCTCCAGCACACAGTACCATGACTCAACACAGCTAGGGGATTCTCCTCCAGCACACCGTACAATCAAGAGTCCATAAACAAGAGTATGCAACTGTGATCTCTTTTCTATGGGCCAGATGTGCGGCGCGCTGCCTTCATTACATCATTCAGCTGCAGTCCGCGCACTGCGGAAAATCAAACACCGCGATTTCCCTCTGGTTTAAAATGGACTTGCGTACGGAACTGGAGTTCATGCGCCAAAATTTAGAGATTGGGTAGGTACTGGAACGAATCGAGCAAAATCGGATGGGCTCGTACGAGAAATTGTGAGTTTGAATGTATGCTTTCAGCGCGTGATGAAGGCAAGTTACGTAATGAAGGCAGCGCGCCGCGCACTGACCCCTAACCACAGTTGCATACTCTTGTTAATGCACTAGGGGATTCCCCTCCAGTACACATTTTACGCTTCAAGCGCTGTACCTCGAAAGCACAGTGCGTGAGTCACCATTTCTACCTAGCTCGCTCACATGTGTACATCCGTTTATAGGCCATTCACACGACGTGTAAACATTTGCACGTGTGTGACCAAGATAACACTGGCAAACCGTGATCGGTTACAGTCCATTATCACCCCGGAACACTGCAAATGCAGTCAAATCAAAGCAACAAAGTCCACAGGAAAACGCAACACAACGCGTAGTTACTTGGCCAAGCGGTGACAAACAAAAGTCGAGTCACCTGCATTTGTCATGTTTACAGTGAACACAACCCCAGCATCATTTTTGACTGAGGAGGGCGCGGGTGAGACGATCTATTCAAATAAACTACTACTTGTCGTCGAGTTTATAGTTTTCGCTGTGTAGAGAAGGAGAAGCTGTAGCTGATTTTTTGCTTGGCCACTGCTGTGCCTGCACTGTCGTTCGGCTTTACATGTAGTCGCCGGCCAAGAAGCAATGATGGCCGTCTCTGTTTTTCTATCGCAGCGATTGATGATTTCTTTTAGTTCCGAGACCAACCAACTCTGGGCTCGTTTCCTTGTCCAGCGACAAGCGAAAATCAGAAATCCTATCTCTAAGGTGCTGGTGAAGACTCAGCAGGAAAACACTGGACAATGGCTTGAGAGCACAGAAGAAACTTCTTGAAGTAAAACAAAATTTGAAGTCACGATCTTGCACCAGCGCGCCCCAGTCAAAGTGATGAGGTGACCGTTGGAAACACGACAAGTGCAGGTGACGCGACTTTTGTTTGTCACCGCTTGGCCAAGTAACTACGTGTAACTATGAGTTTTCAGGCAACGTGACGTAGGCACTTCGCCAGCCTATACAAAATAAACCAAAAACAGCAACAAAAAGTAGACATGAAAAGTCTTTCAGTTTTATAAACCCTTGCGCAACAGCGATAATTGGAAATAGGAGACATGTAGCTATCCAAAGAGACCATGATGAAGAAATTCCAAAGCTGGTGAGTGAAATTATATAAATTTCAAATGCATACTGGGTACAATTGAATTGAATGATTTGCAGTTCATTCTAAAGTACTCACTCTTCTCCTTCGATCTTGTTCTAATTCTCTAAACGTACTGATGTTTTTACTTCGTAGTTTTTGGAAAGATTCGAATAATTTAGCTATGATATGTTCACTCGCTTTGAATCGCTAATCAGATCTGATCATGCCGTGCGCCCTTTTCTCTCTGGTCCTTTGATGCGCGGTGAGAGCATGAACCTCGCGGCATCAGGCTGTCTTTTGTAGATCTTCTTTACTTTCTTTTTAGACTTTAGTCCTGTAAACAAGCTGTATTTGGGTGCTTGAGTGTGTGGTCGTGAGGGATCAAGGGAGCATGCAGACGAGATTGTGGTTCTCAAGGGTCCGTCCTAAGAGATTCCATAACACGGGACTGTTGCGCACCTCTGTGCGTACCCTGTAGGAATCTTGGACATTCATGATAGTCCTCAGAGGGTTCGAACGTAAAGTCAGAATTATTTTATTGCAACTCCGAATAAAGTAAGTTAGTTAATTACCGGCTACCGTATTTCCCCCGATTATAAGTCGAACTTGATTATGTCGAACTTGATTATAAGTCACACTCGATTATAAGTCCCACTCGACTATAATTCACACTCGATTATAAGTCGCATCCCATTTTTCAGTTTTGAGACATATTTTTTCGATAATATTCATTCCAGTGGTAATTCATGCTCGATTTTAAGTCGCGCCCCTTTTTTACCCTTGATTTTTTAATGTAAAAAAGTGCGACACGACACATATAATCGTGGAAATGCGGGAACTGCAGCAGATCAATGGTCTGGGTCCGTATTGACGGGGTGATTCGTTTAAACCGTATGCTAACCGACTCGTCCCTTCTCCTCCCCCATCTATCTTGTTGTTTCCAGTGGGTTGCCTCGAACCTGTCATCTGGTATTTTCCACGGAAACTGCCAAGGTCTTATCCTGCAAGACCAAACGAGAAAATTCATTTTTTCTGCTTCAATGGATACAACTTAGAGGGAAGCAGCTTTCTTACCTGTCAACATAATTATACATGGGATGGACCAGTTCCTACCTGCGAAGGTGAGATTGAACGTTGGTCCCGCCATGGATCAGTGGCAGCAGCCAGTTTCAAGTGTGCACCAACGTGTTATCCGAAATTTAAGCGGCACTTTCCTTCTTTCTTTCCATATTCATCTTTATGCTATCGGGACCAGTTCCAGTTTAATGTTAACCCTTTACTGGCTAGTGCAGTTTGTATAAGAAGTCCATCATGTTTAGAAGGATTTGACTCTGATACTGAGCCAGTAAATATTACTAATATTATTTCATAACCGCAATCAATAACATGAACTAAACCGACATTTGTGTAGTTTATTCATGCAATGTTAAAACGGTAGAGACGATGTGCAATAAAAAAATTCACGGTTCTCGTGAGACTCGGTTTCTCTATATAGAGGCCAAATTTTCCGCATCCGTAGGAACGCCACCACCCTTCAAGGATCAAGGCACAGACGCAGCTCCTAAAGCGGTGGGAGGTGAGTAGATCAGCTCACCAGCATGTGGTCAAAGACCGAAATTCCCATTCACTGCATCCATGTTTTCCTCGTGCCAGGCCACGAGTTCCCTATTAACTGTGGGTCGCAGCACGGCTGGGAAGAATCCTTCCGCTGTCAAGCAGGGATGTGCAATAAAACGTTGAAAATATGAAGAAATGGTGCGGAGAAAAAATATGGATCAAACAAGTTTTCGTACAACATTCATCAGGAATCGTCGTTGTACTAAAGGACACTGAAACAAAATTGAACGATTATAGAAAATCTAAGTTAGAGAAATAACACTAAGAACAACAGCAGTGAAATTTACACGTGTGAATATTTTTAAGAAGGGCTGAGGCTTCCTGCAGCTTCATCTGTGAAAAGATTTCGGGTGGACATACCCATTCCCATAGCGCTGCACATCACATCCGAACCAGTTCCAGTATCTTTACAACGTTTCGGCACTTGTCCATCGTCAGGTAATAGAGAAAGATTACCGCGGGAGGCGATGCAAGCAGTCCAGAGAGCAACTGTGGACGTTCACATAGTCGGACTACCTGTTGATCCGTTCTCTTCAACGTACAGTGGTTACTGTGAGAGCTGGACCGTGACGATCACCGAGGTGTCCCCTTCTGATCAAACTGATATCAGCACCGGTGTCCAGCAGCATACTTACCTCCTGGCCTGCCAGCTGGGCCCGCACAAAAGGGCTGCGTGACAATTCACTGGCACCATGGATACTTGGCTGTGTCTGTAATGTTGGTTGCCCACTGCTACCGCCGTCCTGCACCTAGGACCGGTGGGGCTTTAACGAAAATCCTTCCGGTTAGCAGCACGACGCTCAGCCTGGGTGTGTGGCCTCCAGGTAGGCGCCTCCCGCTTTCTCGCTGGGCAATCTCGCCACCCGCCTCTGTGGGTCTGTGACCCACAGTACCAGCTGCCTCCTTGCTTGAGGTGCCCGTGCCGAGGGCGACCGCAATGCCGCTACCTGATCAGTCAGCTCCTCGATCTGGCTCCTTAACGCTTCCACAGTTGAATCCGTCCTCAGTATGTTTACACTTTGCTGTCCAGTTCTTCTATTCTCTGCTGCCCTCCAGCACGACTCGAGTCTTGTGGCCTTGGAAAGAATTTCCTCGTACGTCCTTGCCGTACTCGACTCCTCCTTTATGAAACCGTGCACTTGCAACTCTTCCTTTAAACGTTGGTCCCTTACGCTCCTCACAAATTTTGACAATCGCAATCAAACCCAAGAGCAGCATCCGGCAATGAAATCAAGATGGAGGGTGTCCTGAGAATGACAGTTCGCTTGGGTAAGGTCATTGTTACTAACCACCCATTCCATGTTGTGACTGACCTGGTCGTGCCCATGATCGGTGGGGCCGACTTTTTGAGTCGGCTAGGCAAGCAGACCTGGGACTGGCCACGGAGCACCCCGATAACACAGGGAAGTCGCCTGAAGCTGGAGCCAGTCTATCGTAACTCAAGGTCATTGGACAGAGCCAATCATCCAACCGGAGTGTGCAGAGTGGTGGTGAAAGACACGACCAAGATCAGGCCGGGTGAGGAAGCATTGGTCCCGTGCACACTCCGTGGCCATACGCCCGATGCTGAGTACTTCCTAGAGCCAAGTTCTACCGGTAGCAATGTCAGAGTCAGAGCAATGTGCTGTCGGCTCAGACCGGCTTCCTCCTGTGCGACAGTATGTATGGTCAATGCCGGGGACAGTGAAGTGGAGGCAGCCAAAGGGAGAGTTGTTGGCATAGCACGTGCTGAATTTGAGGTCTCGCTACAGAGCTCGCTGGGAGCAGAAGGGAAGCGACGGGAGGTTACCAGATACAAAACTGTTGAAAATCTGCATACCAGCAAGAAGCAGGAAATTCATAACCTGGTCAATGAGTACAGCAGCGTGTTTTGGGCAGAGGGTGATCAGCTCCCAACAGCAAAACGACAATCCAGCACAGAATCCACCTCAAGAATGACTCGGCTCCACAATGGTCGAGACCGCGCAGGTTGGCACAGGACACACGGAAAGAGGTGCGAGAGGAAGTCCAATACCTGATTCAGCAGGGACTGATTCGAGAATCTACATCACAATGGACTGCGCCGATAGTAGCTGCTCGGCACAAGAACGGACGACTGAGATTGGCTAGGGACTATCGGAGGCTAAACGCAGCAAGCCACCCCCACCATCACCCGCTACCTTTGATAGATGACCCGGTGGATCAGCTAACAGAAGCACAGTTCGGTTCCACGGTGGATTTGAAGTCTGGCTATTACCAAATGCTGATGTGTGGTGAGGATGCGGCAAAAACTGCCTTCGTCACACCGGATGGCCAGTATCAATGGACAGGTCATGGAACTCCGTTTGGCCTGTCGGGAGCCACATTTCAGAGACTGATGTCGGCCATACTGGGCCAACTGAATTGGGCAGCTGCGCTCTGCTACCTAGATGATGTGGTGGTTTGGGGCCGAAACTGGAAAGAGCACGGCAACCGTTTGCGCGAGGTTCTCACCAAGCTCAGGTCGGCAGGAGTGCTGTTGAACCCTGACAAGTGCTGTTTTGGAGTACGCGAGGTAGAGTTCCTGGGACACATGATTGCAGCAGGTACAATATGCATATCAGACGCCAGAGTCCAGGCGTTGCTCCGCACACTGTTATAACGTACGCACGCAAGATTCATTCCATGCAACTCGCGTATACCACAGCAGGAAACACCATCTGGTTTGTTCTAGGATAATTTAGAAGTGAACATGTATAATGGCAATCACGGAGAGATAAGCAGCAGAGACACGTCAGTGCTGTCGTGGCACTAATGGCGCTATGACACAACAGTATAGGCCTCGTCAGCTCGTACCAAAGTAAGACACACGTCAGCCATGCAGACGTAATGCAGAAGAAGACTGATTCATAATGAGGTAAGACATTGTCACTTTTCGTCATGCATGCATCAAAGGAGGGTAGAACGACACACGTAGAACACACGTAGAACGACACACGTAGCAGAACGTAGATCGTAGATCGTACAACTAAATTTAAATAATAATAATAGATCAATCTATAACACACACCAAGACCGACAACAGTGACTCTGCTCCGGAAAGCCATGGGCGCTGGATTCCAGGCATGGCCAAAATTGCTAAACCACTTTACGAAATGATGAAGGGCTCAGGGAGCATGCTTCTTCAATGGAGTGAAAAACCTATCAAATCGTTTGACATGCTAAAGCAACAAGTTGCCTCAGCCCCAGTACTGCAGTTACCAGACATGAACAGGCCGTTCGTTCTTGTCACAGCAGTGTCTGCTCTAGGATAGTAGGACAGCCGGGTACACATGTACCTGGCACAACCATTTCAACCGGGTCGGAGTCGGGCGCACATGTACCTGGCGCTGTCTCTGACCAGCCGAGTCACATGCTCTGGAGTCCTGGAAGCAGGGCATGTGGACATGGTGGATTCGCCTCTTCAGTGGAGGCTCCATTTCCAAAAACAACACCTCAACGATCAAGCTCGAACTGAGCACGTGCACTGCCATACATTGGATATTGACTACTTTCACTTTGACGTGTGCCTCTGCATGATCTGTCACACATCAAGCCATGTAGTCAGTCCTTTCAAAAGTTGTCAGTATTCAGGTCTACTCGCTGGCATGTCGTTACCCTGTTCATCGTAGTCCCCCCTTTCCCAATCTGTACTCTATTGTACCATCATCCTTCAATGCGACGGACCCCACGATAGGCGGTCAGCCTTTGGGTCATCCTATTAAAGTTATTATTAGTATTATAAAGCTAATTCGAACGTGTAAAGTACCAGCCGGGTCACAGGTGACCCGGTACTCTATTTTCAACCGTGTCTAAGCGGCGCCCAACCGGGTCGTTTACCCGGCTCACTCAGCTCTGGAGCAGCCACTGCACAAATGCATCGGACGTCGGAACAGGCGCAATGTTAGCACAGCAACGAGATGGTAAGCAGTTAGCGCCGGTAGCATTCTATCACCATTCATTAACAAAGGCAGAGGGGAACTATCCAGTGACGGACCGGGAGCTGCTCGCAGTGGTTTTAGCAATAAAGAAGTTCTGGGTCTACCTGGCCAGCCAGCCATTCGACCTAATCACGGATCATGCAGCTCTTAAGTGGATCAACAGCTTGTCCATGGATGAGCTCCATGGTCGTAGGGCACGATGGCTGGACTATCTGCAGCAGTTCAAAATGAAGCCGGTACATCACCCGAATTGAGTATGGCAGACTACCTGTCGAGGATTGGCCACTGCAACCTGCCAAGAAGTGATGCATTGTCTCAGCATGCAATAGGAAGAGAGAAGGCAGGATGGTATCACCAACTGACGCTGCTGTTCTCGACCCAGGAAATAGTCGAAGAACAGCTGAAATGCCCGGCACTGGGCCCAGTGATGAAAGAGCTGAAAGCGCCGGGCTCGGTAAGGGTGCTCGAGGAAGAAGCCAAGTGTGTACTGAGGAAAAGGTCACGACTGAGTATTGGCAATAGCGGAATCTTGCGCTACACAGAATCAAAAGGGAGATCGACACAACAGGAGCCGCTAGGTCGCAGAAAGATGATGGTAGTGGTTCTACCGCAGTCTGTGCACAGGAGGTTTGTGGAATTGGTGCACGATGCACCACTGAGTGGTCACATGGGAAGAAACAGAACATACAATCGCATACGAGATATTGTATGGTGGCCGTTTATGTCCAAGGATGGCGACATACGTACAAGGATGTGAGGCGTGCCAGCGTCACATGCGCCCCAAGCAACCAGACAAGATGCAGCTAGAGACGATGGATATTCCAAAGGCGCCATTGTCTCGGATTCAGATTGATTTTGTTGGCCCCTTCCAACCATCGGTACCAGAGAAGTGTCGGTATATCCTGGCAATTCAGGACGTGCTGACCCGCTATGCGATGTTGATTCCAACGGTGGGGTGCACGGCGGAGACGGCCGCCGTGGTCTTGTTGGAGCGCTGGGTAACAGTTTTCGATATCCCAGAAACTGTGCAGAGTGACCGTGGCTCGCATTTCAATGGAGCTGTCTTCCGCGAAATGTGTACAGCAATTGGCATGCGGCAAGCACTCAGCAGTCCCAACCATGCCCAGTCAAACGGTTAAGTGGAGCGCCAAAATCAACTCATCGATAATGTGCGGTGTGTGTGTGTGAGGTCAACACAGCGGTATGGCCTGAAGCAGTTTGTGCGTGGTGCAATATGCCCATAATATGTCGAGAAATGCTACTACTGGACACTCTCCATACGAACTGTTGTTTCACCAGCATCCGAACAGGCCAGAGAAGTTCACAGTGCCTCAGCCTGCAGGATTGAGGCCTCCGCGTACGGTAGAACACATGGACAGCGTGTTTCGGCAAGTGTAAGTTCGAACAAGGAGTGCTGAAGGAGGAGTGCCTCAAGAAGCTAACTGTGGTTATGAGGTTGGTCAACAGGTCCGAATAAAGCTTCTGCCTGCTCAACAAAAATTGGGGAAGCTACACGCCCACAAATCTGAGTTGTATACCGTAGTTGATGATATGAATCTAAAGACTGGTTATAGGTTCTGAATTATTATTGGTACTTCCTAGATATGAATGACAAGAGTAGAGACGAAACTAAATGTGGAGACTCAAGCTCAAGAACAACAAGAAGACTGAGAACAGCTCAAATCACAGCTGGTGGGCATGCATGCATCCAATCAGTATTATAGCGTACGCATGACATCACAACATGTATGCGCGAGCATGCAGCACAAAGACAGGAGCGCGAGCGTAGTATGCATATACATCACACGCCCCTTCGAGATTATACTGGATAACGAGAACAGTATGATCTAACAAGAGAAATCAAATAAAGAAATATGTGACTGCAAGAACACGGAAAGCAGTAGAAATGCGACAGAAATCAAACATAGGACTGTCCTTTTGTGGAAGAAATGTCCAAACGGTCAGTAGCACGGCGGTTGCGAGTGCTGCGACGTGGAGCTACAGGAGCAGGTTGATCAGCGGGTGGATTGGCAGGCACAGTACCATCAGGGGTAGCAGGCACAAGGGGAATGAACGGGCGGAGAAAACGCCGGTTACGCCAGTACACTCTTCCACTAGTTAACTTCACGTAGTAATCACGGTGACGACCAACACCAACGATAACACCACGCTTACACCACAGCTTCGACCGGGGGTCCTGCACGTCCACATGGGTGCCGATACGGAGCTCGGACAACGGGCGAGCAGAGACATCGAATTGAGCCGGAGCAGACGGAGGAGCTGCATCTGTGTCGTCGGCGAGGGTCTGCCATTCGGACGAGAAGCTACGGTGATGCGCAAGCACAAATGACGACAGAGGTCGGCCATACAGCTTTTGTGCGGGGCTGATGCCATCAGACCTCGGAGTGTTACGCCATTCTAACAGCCCGCGTTGGAATGCGTCCACATCAAGGCGGCCATTGGTGGTCGTCTTGTGAACAAGTGTCTTCATCGCCTTTACACCAGCCTCTGCGTGACCATTGCTCTGAGGGAAGTGCGGTGTAGACATAACATGGGAAATCTGCCAGCGGCGACAGAACTCGGCAAATTGGTGGGACGCAAACTGGGGGCCACCATCAGTGCACAGAACAGACGGCACACCAACATCTGGGAACCAACGGCGCAAATGGACGATCACATCGTGTGAGGACGTCGTGGTACCGGTCGGTGCGAGGCATGGCCATCCGGATAAGCGATCTACATAGACGAGAAATTCACGGCCTTGGCAAGTGAATAGATCTGCGCTGGTGTGCTCAAATGGCAGAGTCGGGTGACGATCGTTGAGCAGCGGTTCCCTCGGGAGCGATGCTTGGCGTTCCCGACACGTAGGGCATGCGCGGATCAGTGTCTCCAGATCTTGGCTCAACTTGGGCCAATACACCACCTGACGTGCTCTAGCCTTGGTACGTACAATACCCTGGTGGGAGGCGTGGAGATCTTGGAGAACATGTTGACGGAGGGACACGGGCACAACGATCCGTTGACCTTTCAAGACAATACCGTTGGCCACTGATAGGTGCTCTCGTCCGTTCCAGAATGAACGCAGAGCATCAGGCAAATCACGCTGATCATTGGGGAATCCATCTTGCACGTGCTGGAGCAGTAGCTGATAGTCAGAGTCAGCGGCAGCAGCATCATGGACGGCTTGGAACCGGAGGTCAGTGATCAGCCCATCTTCATCACGACGGAGACAGGCACGGATGCCGAGGTTAGCCAATGCGGGGGCTTCACCATACTGGTCCGTCGGGGAAGGGAGGTCAACTGGGTTCCGAGACAATGCATCGGCAAAGGCGTTGTCAGCACCTTTCCGCCACTCAGCACAGAGTTGGAACGACTGGAGCTTGAGCATCATTCTGAGCAAACGTGGGTTCTCAATTTGATCAAGCGAGTATGCATTGATAATGGGCACCAATGAGCGGTGATCAGTGATGACACGAAACTGGGTGCCGGACAAGAACAGCTTGCACTTCTTGACAGCCCAGACGATGGCCAGGAGTTCGAGCTCGATCACTGCGTAGCGGGACTCTGTGTCACTGAGATACCGACTGCCACACTGGATGATGCGCCATCCGGTGTCTTGTTTCTGCCACAAGACGAAGCCTAGACCTTTCAGTTTGGATGCGTCCGTTTCCAGGCGGAGTTCGGATCCTACTTGGAAATAAGACAGGGTCGCCAAGGATACCAGCTCATCCTTGATGGCGTTGAAAGCAGCAGTGTGGTCGTGATGCCATAGGAACTCAGTAGAAGGCTTCAGCAGACCGCGTAACGGGGCACTCAGCTCAGCCAAACACGGGGTGAACTCTGCACACTGATTCATCAGGCCCAAGAACGAGCGGAGGTCGGTCCGGTTACTGGGCGTGGAGAAGTCACGAATGGCTGACGTCTTCGCTTCATCGACAGTCCAGCCGTCGGCGTTCAAGCGATACCCGCAGAACTCAATCTGGGTAGCAGCAAATACGAACTTCTTCGCACTGAGTGTGATGCCATTGTCCCGTGCACATGTCAGTACTCGGCGGACGCGTGCGACGTGGTCACTTAGGTCATCGTCATACACAAGGCAGTCGTCCACGACTTTCTTGAAGTTCGTGATGCCGTCGAATGCTGCGTCAGTACGGCGGTTGTACTCGTCACCGGCAGATATCAAGCCTTGTGGGTTGCGCAAATAGCGGAAACGGCCCCACGGCGTGATAAACGTGGTGAGTGGGCGCGCAGATTCACATAACGGGACTTGCCAATATCCATGACGTGCATCGAGCTTCGTGAAGTAACGACCGCTGATGCTGGAAACGACGTCTCGTGGTGGTTGCATCGGATGAGCAGGGCGTTGAATCTGGTCATTCAACTTCTTGAAGTCGACAGTCAATCGCTTCTCAGACGTGCCCTTTTTGTCGACAATCACAATCGGGTGACACCATTCGCTCGATGTGGAAACTGGTTCGATAATGTCATCCTTCACCATCCCGTCCAGCTGGTCCTTGATCTGGTCACGGAAGGCAAAGGGGACTGGCCGCGCATGATGCGTGCAAGCTGGCTTAGCATCGGCTTGGAGCTCAATATCCATTGGTGAGCCAGACATGGGTTTCAAACGGCCATCATCGAACACGTCTGCGAATTCTTGCAGCAGTTCAGTACGGATCTCGTCAGCAGTACGGTCTTGCGCTGGTTGAATTTCCACACGGGAAATGGAAGGCCAGTTGGCTGGAAGCAGACCAAGCGCAAGCAAAGAAGTCCGAGACAACAGAGCATCAGACAGATCAGGGTAGACATGGATCGTCGTGTCGTACGACTTAGCTCCAATGGCGAGAGAGGAGTGAATCTGGCCGGCAGACTCAAGACGGTGACCATTTACACCAGTCACTACATCATAATCGGTGGCGAGATTTTCGGGGAATCCACCAAGCAATTCCAAATGCTGTAAACCGATGGCATCCACGTCACTACCGGTGTCGGGGATCCAGTCAATCGGTGCACCAGTGGTCTCCGTATTCAGGGTGGCATGGACGGTCACGGTCCCTTGGTTGCCTGACGATGCTTGCTGCAACTTCAGTTGGCCGATTTTGCCATTACGGTGCGCAAACTGCGATTTCTTGGGGCACATCTTTTCAAAATGGCCTGACGCCTTACAGCCATTACACGTTTTGCCTGCAGCAGGACAGGAAGACTTTGTGTGAGCGCTGCGACCACAGTTCACACACTTCTTGGGTGGCTGGGCTGTTGCGGATCTGTCACTGAACTGAGACTTCTGCTTCTGGTAAGAAGACTTTTTCGCGACGGCAGCCTTAAAGGAGCCGGTAGTCGGCATTCCATCATTGGTCTGCTTGGCGGCTTCCTCCGCACGACAAATCTTGGCCGCGCTGGAAAGGGTCAAGTTCTGCTCAGAAAGCAGCTTGTGCCGAGTGTCATCGTCCAGGACACCGACAACGATCCGGTCACGAAGGAGCTCTTCGTTAGCTGTGACTAGGATCTTGGGGCAGTCAGTACACATACGCCCAGAGCACGTGCGACAAACACGTAGTTCCACAAAGTCACAGGCGCTAAACAATTCTTTCAAACAAGTGAAAAAACTGTCGAAGGACTCGCCTTTATGTTGCCGCCTATTGTAGAAATCGATGCGGTCCAGCAGGGGATTCCGTTGGCGACGAATGTACTTTTTGATGGCTGCAATCACTGCTGTCACGTCAGCATTGAGAGCTACAGGAATGACACCTTCCCTCAGGTACCTACGGAGGTCCTCGTCAAGAGCTTGTCGCACAGCGCTAACTTGTGTCTGTGTGTCCTGGCTTGCCAGTTTTTGGCATCGGGCGTAGTCGTCCCACGCTTCTTCCCAAGCGGTGAGGTCGGAAAGCGTGGCAGATGACAGCAAAACCGGACGCTCCACAGAGATTTGTTTGGCAGTAGACGAAGGTTGAGTGTTCTGATTCTGGAGTAACGTTGTGAGGCGAGCCTCGCGATCATCAGCAGCTTTCATTTGTTGCTGCATCAAGGTCATGAGAGCCAGTACATCTGGGCTCAAGGCAGGTTGGGCAGCACCGACCGGGGTACTTCCAGCATCGCTCATGACGAACGAAAAGAAACGAAGTACTCAACTTGCTACAATGTT